CATTCATACTTTAATGTGAATGACTCCAATGGGGTGATACACATTGCTTGTCTCTTAAAATCTTTCTGAAGACAGCCCAGAGATAAAGCGTGTTCTGATTGAGAAGACTGGTTTGGTTGAGGAAGAGAAAGTTTTGCCTATTGTAGTGCTACTTTTTGAAAACTGTTAATGCATATGTGTTATATACATTCCCATTCTCTAACAGCACCAGGTAATAAATAAAGATTTATGCACATAACAGTCTTTTATCCTAAATATTGCTCTAGCAACTATCATGTATTTAGTTTACTCTTTACTGAGATTCAGAGAACAGGCAGAGTTCTCATGCTTAATTTCTCAACTACCCATTGCAAACTGTTTTTTGCAATTGATTGCATTTTGTTAAGCCTTATCCATCACTTAAGAATTCTCCCTTAAATGAAAATTCTCATTAAAAAAAGGTAACATATAAAATCTTTAACTGCTTTTCTTGACAAGGGAGGAAACAATTTAGAGCATTTATCTGATTATGTTATCTTCTATTTCAGACCTTTCAATAGTTTTCCATGCTTGCAGCCTCCTGCAGTCTTAGACACAGGGGACAGAGAAAGACTTGTCTAGTCTATAAATCCATGTGGGGCACTCTTTACTTTTCAGTGATTGAATAACAGCTCAAATATCCTTATATCGTTATTATTGAGATGGAGTCTCCCTCTGTCACCCAGGCTGGAATGCAGTGGTACAATCTCTGCACACTGCAACCTCTGCCTCCCAGGTTCAAGAGATTCTCCTGCCTTAGCCTCCCAAGTAGCTGTAGTCCCAGCTACTTGGGAGGCGAAGGCAAGAGAATCTGCCTTAGCAGATATATGGGAGTTTATTACGTATTAAAGTACACGATCACAAAGGCCCCACAGTAGGCTCCACAAGCTGAGGAGCAAGGAGAGCCAGTCTGAGTCCCAAAACTGAAGAACTTGGAGTCCAATATTCTGGGCAGGAAGCATCCAGCATAGGAGAATGATGTGGGCTGCGAGCCTAGGTCCATCTCTCCTTTCCACGTTTCTCTGCCTGCTTTATATTCTCTGGAAGTTGATTAGGTTGTGACCACCAGATTAAGGACATATCTGCCTTCTCCAGCCCACTGATTCAAACGTTAATCTCCTTTGGCAACACCCTCACAGACACACCCAGGTTTAATGCTTTATATCCTTCCTTGGTAGAAGCAAAGAGTATGAACTTTTACTCACCTAGTTCTAGAAAACTAATCTGGGGCCAGAGAAAATGCGTGTCTGAATTAGAAATTGGGGAAGCTTTATATAACTAATAGATTCCCAGGTCCCAACTGCAGAGATTTGGAGTTTTAGGGACAGGTACCCAAAACAAAACAATGTTTAACAATATCTCTGTTGAGTTTGGAAACTCTGTCCACAAACAGTCATTTTCTATGTACTAGGCTAATGCCTTGATGCAAATCAAATGGGACATGTTTCATAACCTTGAGGAACTGGCAGTGTCGCTTGAGATGCAATGATAAATGAATGTCACAGGACAATGTGCTAGTAATAATAAAAGCATGCCAGAGTATTAAGGGAATCCCACAAAGGAACATTGAAATCATGCCAGAAAGCGGGGGAAGGCTTTTCAATGTGAGTAGTCTTGAGCTAAGTTTAAAATAAAGAGTAGGGGTTAGCTAGGTAAAGGAAAAGATCAGAAGACAGAGTTGGACAATGATAGAGGCAATTAAAAACGTGCTATTTCAGGACCAGCAAATCTTTATTACTAAATCCAAAGAGGAGTTGTAGAAGATAAAGCCAAAAAGAGAGAGATTCAAAATCGTAAAGAGTATTGAATACTAGCCTAGAGTTGAGAGTTTTGCCGATTTCAAGCAGGTAATAGACCAAATGTGCATCTCAGAGCAGACTAGTAGTTATTTGGAGTAAATCAGTGGATATCAGATGTGATATTGAGAGGCCAGTAGAAAGGCTAAGGCAATAACCCGGGCGATGCACCATAAGAGCCTGGATAAAGCTACCTCCATACAGGTGGAGTGGCAGGAATAGTTCCTTATAGGGTTTATTGAGAGAAATTCTGCAGAGTCAGGTGACTTTGAGTGTATGGAGTGAGTCAGAAGTAGGAAGTAGGGATGATTCTGTGGTTTCTAGTTGGAGTGGTTCAATGTAAGATCAGGCCATCACCAAGGTAGGAAACAGAGAAGGAGAAACAGCATTTGACCTGGAATTTACAGACAGTCCTTACAGTTGTGCTTTTTAACACCCCCAAAGGCATTAAAAATATTATGATTTCCTAGAAGGCAATAGGTAGCCAAAATATCATGGCCCGACAGAGGAGAAACAAGAGAAGGCAGGTGGATCTTAAAGGTGCGGTGGGGAGAGAAAAAGATAAGCAAATCTTGTCTTCAAAGTGACTTCATTAGAATGTGTTTCCCACAATTTGTTATTGAGGAGATGTCTCAGTGACATCTTGTCTTGGAAGAAGATAGCTACACAAAGACCAAATGGATTGGTAAAATAATCTAGGAATTTTACAAACAATACTTGAAAAAAAGTCAACAAAAATTTTTTTACTTTTTTCAGAAGCAACAGCTTCCAAGTTGACCTTGCAAAGTCACTCTCAAGAGGTCACTATTCACTAATTCTCACGTTCTAACTTACCACCTTTTCCCATGCTCTTGCCTTTACTGGACTTGGGTGCATGTGTGTGTGTGTGTTTGGGGGCAATTCCCTTTGACCCAAACCCTCTGGTCACCATTGGCTTCCCTCTGAGAAGAGGAACAGGAACGTGACCAGGACCATGTGCCAAGTGCCTATTTCCAGCTGGGATGTCATCTGAGTGTGAATCCTGGAATGGCTGACTAACTCATATTCCCTGTACAATGCCTCCCCAAACAGTGCTAAAATAGAATCAAGGAGAGTTGGGATATTCTTTTATCCTTTTTTCTTCAGGTATTAAAAAACAGCAATAACGAAAGAGTCACTCTGTGGATGGTTCAATATCTAGCAAACTTAGAGTGAAAAAAGGATACAGAAAAGTGATTCTTAGAGAGAAATCTAACCTTGGTATCAATTTCTTGCTTCCAAAACTTACTTTTTGCTAGTCCTCTGGAAACTTCTCACCTGCCCCAGCTCAGGTAGGACATGGAGACCAGCAGGCGTTAGCAGGTGCTCCAGGGTAGGCACAGCTGACTATGACATGAGGACCTGTGCATATCTGGCATTTGTCCTTCCCTACCACACGTATCTTCATTTTCTTTTCTTCTTCTATGTCCCTTTCTTCCACATTTTCTTTCCTGTCTTTTTCTTCTTTCCTTCCCTTCTTTTCTCCAGTCCTTTTATCTGTTGATCTCTTCCCTCCATTTCCATTTCTTCCTGTTATTCTTCCTTTGCTTGCTTTTGTTCCTGCTATTTTTCCCTCTTTTTCTGGCTTCTTTGACTAGGGTACTCAAGTGTGTGGGCTTTGGAGGTGAATTTCCGGGTTTGACCTAAGCTCTACCACTTCTTTTTTATATGATCTTGGGCAAATTTTTTAAAATTTTCTATATCCAAATTTCCCCATCTACTCTGAAATTATATTAATACCATCTGCTCCAGAGTTTTGTTATAAGGATTTAATAAGGTAATATAAAGCTGTAAAGCACTCAGCATAGGCAGGGCATAATGTAAGATACTACTATATTTTTTTTTTTTTTTTTTTTGAGAGGGAGTCTCACTCTGTCACCCAGGTTGCAGTGCAGTGGTGTAATCTCAGCTCGCTGCAACCTCCACCTCCTGGGCTCAAGCGATTCTCCTGCCTTAGCCACCTGAGGGTTTCACCATGTTGGCCAGGATGGTCTCGATCTCTTGACCTCATGATCCGCCTGCCTCGGCCTCCCCAAAGTGCTGGGATTACAGACTTGAGCCACTGGGCCTGGCGTACTCTGCAATTCTTGATAGATATTATCAAATACAATGTACACCAACTATACAGTCTCAGTGAGAGTCTGACCTATCTATAGTGTCAGAGAAGAATGATAGTTTTTCTTTTGAGGGGAGATTCTGAGAGTTCCCTCTAAATGTGTATGAAAAATTTAGATCCCTTTACGTATTTTTCTTAAAAGATGGTCAGGTCTGTAGTTTTTACCAGATCCTTAAAAGGATCTATTACTCGGCTGGGCACAGTGGCTCACGCCTGTAATCCCATCACTTTGGGAGGCCGAGGCAGGTGAATTGCCTGAACTCAGGAGTTCAAGACCAGCCTGGGCAACACAGTGAAACCCCGTCTCTACTAAAAAAATACAAAACATTAGCTGGGCCTGTAGTCCCAGCTACTCAGGAGGCTGAGGCAAGAGAATTGCTTGAACCTGGGAGGCGGAGATTGCAGTGAGCTGAGCTCACACAACTGCACTCCAGCTTCGGCAACAGAGTGAGACTCAGTCTCAGGGATCTATTACTCAAAAGCATTGAAGAGCATCCATGCTTAACATCTTGTACTACTCTTACAATGAGAAAGAAAGATGATGATATGGGAGTCTCATGACATATAAACACAGCACGCCACCTATCACTGAGGATGTGAACGTTCTGTAACGTCTTTTCCAGGAAAGAGAATTATTAAAACAGAGGAAAGGATTTTGAAGTTTGGGTAAGAATCTATAGATCCTTTCAGCCCTCTCAGCTTCCTATTGCTCTATCATCTCTCAAGCAGGCAGGTAATCAGAAGTAAAAGAACAGTTCTGGAAGGTGACCTCTATCACTTGAAAATCAAAGATTGAGAATCTGCAAGCAAATCACTTAATCTGTTTAGCAGTCTCTGAAGCTAAGATTGCCTTGGTTCTATGAGGAAAGCCAGGCAGAGCAGTGGCATGAACTAAGGAATACACAAATATTCAGTTTGCGCTTTCTTTCCCAGAGTTCACTGGCATAGGAGGGATTAAAAACTCAGTCCGAGTCTTTTTCTAAAGTCACCCTACACCCTGATGTTTCTCATAACATGTCTCTGTGGATCATTAATGTGTTTCCAAGCAAATAGTTTCGTATGGAGCATTTATTTACCCTTATTATTAAGATGCATGTGTTTCCACTGGAAGCATCAGCTTTGAGGCCTATAAAGCACATTATAGAAACAGGCATGCAAAAGGAAGTAGTAATCTGTCCAGAGAGCATGAGCAGGCAAGCTCACCACAGGAAATGGTGCTGAAACAACAGGGAAATACAACTGAAAAACACACTCAGAAATGTATTACATAAAATAATTTACTTCTCATTCAGAATGACCTTCCAGACCTATTGGTAAGACAGCCGTCTGTGAGTTCAGATACAATCTGAAAGTCATGACAATTATAATAGGGTAAGACCAATAAAGTTACACATTTGAAGTCAACTAGAGACAAAATTGTGGAACTGTATATAACAGAAAATGACACGGATGAGGAACTGCAGGGATATTAAGGGCAAGATTGTCATAGAGACAAAAAGGGTACAATTAGAAAATCTACAACTTTAATACCGTGAGATTTGTATGCACACACTCTGTGTCTTCATTTTGCAGCCCATGACATTGGCTTAACAGCCACAAGGTACTCATGCATGTAATTTATACTGGAGCAATGAATGGAGTGTATGCGGGTGCATGTGTGTGCACTTTCAAAGGCAATATTTTTAGAAGAATGAGAAGAAAATTACTTCCTGGGCGTTCATTAATAATTCAGGTGATATCCTGCACCTCCATTTATAAAACAACATAATAATAAAAGCTTGTACAAAATAACGTCATAAATAACAGAAATGAGAAGTTTTCAAGTATTTCAATGTGCCTTGAAAAGTTGCAAACAGTAGTTCTAACAATTGGTTAGACAGTCATTTTTTTTTTCTTTCCTTTTCCTCTCACTTAGTCTCAGAGCCTAAAAAGAAATGCTTCAGTCTCTGTTAGCCCTGATGTTTGGAGTGAAATTAACAAGATTCTACCTTCAAAGAGAAAACTTACGTGGGCTTTTCAAATTGTGAAAACTTGTTTCCCTCTTATAAAATATAATCTTTCCTCTGCTGCTGGTTTATAAATATAGGCATCTAGTCCAGAGCCATTATAAAGAAACAATAACCAACCACAAGAAACTAAGAAGCCTCATCTGATGGCTAAGGTTCTCAGGAAAAAATGAGAAGAGCACCTTGATCAGGAGAGGAAAAAAGGGTAGAGGATAAAAACAGTAACCTTTAACTTCTGTGCGCTCTTTCAGCCAGTAACTTATGGTAGGTGTTGCTGGCAAGGCCTTAACTGCATTTCTTCATTCAGCTCAACATCCTGTCTCCCCACTCCGTATCAACCCAGCTGCTAATAAGCATGCCCTGGCAGCTCAGGAGCTCAAAAGTGCCATCAGTGAAAACCAGCTCAAAGGAGCTAAGGTATTTGCTCTTTAGAATAGTGCTTGAAGTGGAGGCTGTCAGTGGTTTAATCAAGCATGAAGTTCCTTGGATGCTTCTCCAGCAAGATCCATGGAATTTTACAAAAGCAACTTTCCACAGGTTAGCATTTCTTTCTTAGACTACATGGCAGTTAGTTCATTTTGCCCTGTTCAAAGGTAGTATGAAAGAACAGAGATCAAAACATGCATGTAAGTACATACACATACTCTAGTTATGAGCACCTAGGATCTTTCTCATCATTCTTGCAGAAGTTCGTGTGTGTATATATACATACACTCATACATATATATGTAGACACAGACATCTATATACAGAAATAATGTATATATGTATATGTGTACATATATCACATATCTATATATACAGACATACACACAAGCACATAGATCAACCTCATCTAAACATCTAGCCTGCAGAATGTGCTGGCCAACAGAATACATGTGCATGTGGCTGTCATGTGACATGCACTAGCCAACTAACCCAAGGTAAAACTGTTGGGAGGAGGAAACCGCCAACTATCTTTGAAAATCCAGACCTACCAGGCCGTGATTTAGATATTTGCTCCCAAAGAACTCTCAAAGAAACTTAGGGAAATTGGACTGGGATGGGGTCCCACCCTGATGAACACTCAATCACCAAAAGCTATATCTAGTTTATGCGTGGAAGTGACTCACACATGGCAGGCAGCATGAATATTAGGCTACAATGTGGATAAAGCACTGGAGCTTAATACAGATCAATATTTGGCCTCAGGTTTTCCAGAGCATTGAGTCTTGGCATGTCATCCCTCTGCCTCCAGGTGAGAATTAGGCACACTGGGGGACCAGGGAAGCACAGTCTGCAGAACTCTTGGCTCCTTTCTGCTTCTCTGCCCCACAGCTGGAAGGGTTGACCAAATCAAGATAGAATCGTGACTTGAGGAAGCGGCGGTAGGAATCCTTCTCCATCAAGTTGAAAATTTTCTTCTGAGCCTCATCGAAGCAGGTTATTGTAGGCTCCAACATGTTCCGGCTTGTCTCTTCCCTAGTGCAAGAATCCAGGTTCACCTGAGGGGCAAAGGCCAAGGCTCCATTAGACCTATATCCTGATGGGAGGCTGCATGCTTTGTAGCGACTTGTAAGTGACCGTGCACCCTCCATATTTCAGAAGTGACAAACAAAAGTGACATCAGTCTCGTCCCTGGTACATGTGAGAGAGTATAAAAGATTCATTCTGTTTCAGAGTAGGCAGGGCAAGATCTTCTGTTCTAATAAATTGGGGAGATTCATCAGAAAAATTCATGAAGGGAGGTTTTGTAAGTCACATGGACAAAAGAGATTTTTTAAAAAACTGATTTATTTGGGGTTGTCAAGATTATGATAGTCAGCTCCACTATTCTAGGAAACTTCATTAAGATCCAGAGAGTTCTCTGCCATAAAAGCTTAACTTTTTGGTTGGTTGGCTAATGAATAGAAGGAATAGATAGCTGGATAGAGGGAATAGGTCCTAGTGTTTGATTGCATAGTAGGGTGACGATAGTTATCAATAGTTTATTGTATATTTCAAAATAGCTAGAATAGATTTGGAATGTTCTCTACACAAATAAATAATAAATATTTGAGATATCTATATACAAATTGCCCTGATTTGATCATTACACATTGTATGCATGTATCAAAATATCACCCATACCCCATAAATAGGTACAATTTTCATGTATCCGTAAAAACCTACCTCTTTGGTTGCCTGGACTGAGATGAATTCATTATAGATCTTTTTGGCCTTGGGGCTTAGTTTAGACGGTGATTTGATTTTCTTGTACTCTTCACAGCTGATCCAGAAGTCAATATTCTCCTCACTATATTCAGACTTCAAGAAAGCTTTGAAAGCTGCCAGCCCACCTGTGATACAGAAGAAAGGACCACAGTTGCCATCACACCGGCTGGCCTCTTGGATATGAGATTTCACATGAAGCTGAGGTATTTGGGGAAATAAAGCATAGGTTCAAGAAATCTCTTACTTCACCCGCTTTTTTCAAGTCACTTGGAATCAGGTAACCCTAATCTGTGTTTGATGTCTAGTGGATTCCAGTTCTATCTAATGATTCATACTCAAGTTTGAAGCCTCTTTCAAGAAAGTATTTTGTTTCTGAAATGCCTATGCAGCTATCAATTACTAAGGTGGATTTGGGAAAGAGAAACTGACATTGATTTTGCAAGAAAATACCAGTATTTATCATTTTTTCTCTCTTCCCTTTTTCCTTGTGATGAGAGAGATGGTTTCCCACATGGTTCCTGTATAAACTTTTCATTGTATATCACAAAGCTCCAGGGTATATTAAAATTTGAAACAGACTGAATATAGGACCATAAGGGTCTCCTGAGTCTGAACATCAGAAAGAAGCCAGGCCTTGATGCAGTTACTATTAGATCAGCACAATATAACTTATCTTATCTAGAGTACCTCATCCCAGGTTGCTGTCAAACTTACATTCATGACTAATCAGGTTTTCCAGTGATTCAGCCCATTTCTTAACTTCCTCTTGGCTCACCCTAGAAAAATTAGAGAGAAACAGAAAAGAATTGGAATGCCATGATACAAAATGGGGGCAAGAAATCTAAGATCCTGAATATAAAGCAGAGATTTTATTTTCTATAATTATGACAAAATATATTGCTGATGAGGGCAGTTTTTCACTAAAAGTATAGAAATTTCAAATGTAGTTATAATCTCCATGAAAAGGGAGGCTCTCTTGGTTCAAATCTGGCTTAAGTAGAAGCACAACACATCTATCGTCAGTTAATACTCGGTAGATCTTCACCAAGGCCTTTTCTCTTACCTCTGGCAAATAACCACTTTGTCCTTCTTGCAGTGAGAAGAATTATGTTCACAGGAATCAGATTTCTGCAGCAGGAAACCTAGCCGATGTTTCATATCTTTTGCACTGCACAGAGGAGAAAAAAAGAATCAATAATGATAACCAGCTTTCTTTAAAAGATCAAGAGTCCATTACTAGTCTATGGCTCAGAGGCATTTATTTAGGGAATGGGAGTTGGAGGTGGCATGAATTCTGAGGAAAACAAGATTCCTCTTTTGGTTGCCTATGACTTGCTACAAAACCTTGAGGCACAGTCATAACACTAGTTCCTTCATCCACAACTTGAATTCTGACCCTTCAGTTCACCTCAGAAATCTCAGAAGCCTTTGTATGCCCGTCATTTTGACCAACAGAATACCTTTGGTATCTTCAACAGAACCACACTGAAAACATGAGCGATCTTTGAGTAATTTTGGGGAATCAGAAGGCAGTAGGGCTGCACGTCCTTGCTGCACGCCACCTTCTGGCAGGTGCTTGCCATTTCCATCTGTCTCCCTGCTGGCAGGGAGGAAACTGTGGGAGCACCGCAGGAAAGAAAAAGTCTATTCCGTTCCAGCCATGTACGTGGTGGGCCAAGCAGTTCCTGCTGTGAGGTATGCAGGGAGAATACACTGAGGCACGCAGTTCCAGCAGAGGGCAATGGAACATGGACGGTGAACGCCAATGCCCAAGCTGAAACCTGAGCTCTTTGGGGCTTCTTTGAAGATAATACCTGCTGCTGCTGCTGCTGCTGCTTTCCTATTTAATACCTACGTTAAAGGACATACACACTATAAAGGGCATTTGAGGCTTAAAAACTATAAGGAGAAGCAGCTAGAGCCATCACTGAGCTTCTAGTCTATTGCAGCCAGTTTAATAGGTAGCCAGGGTACAATAGGGCTCCTGACTAACTGGAAAAACGGGGTCCTTTAATAAGCCTTAAACTCAACTCTTACTTTTTCTTAACTATCCTCTTGCTTGCATCTCTTTTATTATGAAAGCCAAAAAAATAATTTTAAAAGAGAAGTATCATTCTTTAAAAAAAACGAATAACTAAATGTTCCTATTTGGAGCAAGAAAAATAAAGCCACAGAGATATAAAGACATTTAGGATGGCTACTAATACATTAGTGGTTTATGTATGTAGGTTTTCCCAGAAAGTTTGAATTCCATTATGTTCGCTGACTGCCTCTTAAGTAGTATTTTCTCTTTCTCCCAAGACTACTTTCCCTCCTCTGCTTCCCTGACTGATGACTGATCAGGGGATATAATATCCTTTTTGATGATAATAAGATATAATCCTGAATGTTAGGGCAATTCCAAGGTGATAATATAAGTATATCATGAAGTCCAAACAGAAATGAATTCATATTTCCATGTGCTGGATCTACCTGAGATCTGAGAGCTATTGATCAATAAAGGGGTAAGTGTGCTTAGCAAGTATTCTTATACTAAAACCATAAAAATAAAAACCAAAAATGACTTCAGGAGTTATTGGAGCCAGGAAATCTAGATTTGGCCCTAACTCATTCACCAGCTATGTCACCTTGAGCAGGAGATGGCTCCTCTGGAGCCTCAGACACTGGTGGTAAAGATGTTGGACTAGACGATTTGGTGAAGGAAAGGGAACAGCAGCTCATCCTGCTAATGTAGGGTTTACCTCCTTAGATTAGCTGCTCAACTCTTCAAGGGCACAGCTCTAGTACTATCTTTTATCTGCCTTGCAAAATATTTACCAGAGCGTAACTTCTCCTGACACTCTTGTATCTTTGAATGGTTCATTTTATATGTAAGTTAACTGAAGCTTGAAGTAATTTGCCCCACTCCATTCAGAAAATTAATCGTGAAGGTCAGAGGCACTTATTTCATGCTCTCTGCCAGACCCTCCTGCTTCATTTTAAAGAAGCCATTGATACTTCCACACTCCTGAATGACACAATATTTGAAGAGTAAATGTTTTAATGGTACATAAAACATTATGTTTTCTGAAATTATTCCCAAAATAAAAATTGTGGTAATTTCTATTTGCAGGGTGATAAGAAAGCAGGTAGTATACCTCTAGATTGACTTTTTACTTTTATCTGCAAGATTAAGTAATGTAATATGCACTCATTTTGTGTTTTATTTTCAACTGGCTAATATACAATCATTCTCTGAATGCATTTTGTTTATGCCTTTTTTTTGAAAAAGCAAACACAAATGAATAGCTGTATGCCTGTAAGGTCTTTTAAAAACATTAAGAGAATATACAAACAAAACAATGTCTTTCAGGTGAGATCTTCTACAAAACTGTTAACTGATTTGTAATGATCTGTACTTCTCAACCACACTCATCTAAGATACTTTAAGAACTAGAGATGCAGCAGAGAGATAAGGAAGATCTGGCTCTGAAACTCATATCTCATTGTAACATTTGCTTATGAGAACATAGAGACTGAAAGATACTGCAGCACCACACAGAAAGCATAATGTCTTTCCGATGATGTAGCCAAACCTCATTGTGGGGTACTTTCCCTCAAACAATATACAGTATACAATCAGAAAGCCCAGAGCCAGGCTTCTGTGTACTCCAGGGATGCTCAAATAACAGTAGAAATCACAGATGGAAATATTACAGACCACTATACATAGCCTCAAATCTTATCTCACTTCTTAATTAAAACTAGCTTGCTTAGACCTGGCTTAAAGAACAGAACGGTTCTCAAAATTGAGGTCATAAAACAACATCTAAGGACTGAAATTTGGGGAAGCACGTGTCTTAAATCACAATATCTAGCTAGTCTTGGAGGAAGAAAGCTAGGAAGTCATTGCTCTCCTGACCACACTGTTTCTAACTGCACAGAACTAGGTTAGTAAGTACAACATGTAAATAACTGAGAAAGTCTATCCAAAAGTTTAGCATGGTTAACGGCTGAAAGCAATCTTACCTCCTCAAGCAAGAAGCCGGCAGACCTGCAAGCCCTTTGCACATCTTATTTAACAGCTTGGGATTCGCAAGCAGAAAAATGCGGCAGGAGGAGCTGTGGTTTCGGCTTTGAGAGTACTTTGCCTCTTCTCCGGCAAAGATACTGTCAGAATTCTCTGAGCGTCTTTCTACCAAGCCTGTAGGGGTCTCTTTTATAGCCCAGCTACGACCATCCAGCCAATCAGACGACAGCTCTGCAGTACCAGCTCCTCTGTCTCCCTCTGCCTCTCCAGCCCCTGAAAGAGATGAGGAAGAAAAGACTGACGCATCAGCAATGCTAAGTGAAGGAGCACAGAAAATCCTTCTGCAAAGGAGGCAAACAGAAAAAAATGTACTCAAGTCTCTATGAATGTCAAAGGTTTCGTAATTTCTAGAAAAGGAAAAAAAGCATTTGTACAACACTGCAAAATACAGTATTTGTTCATATGTCTATTAAAAAAAAACAAAAACAAAAACAAAACAATATCAAGGAAAGTTGCCTCCTGAAGGAAAAGTACCAGCAAAAATTCTGGAGCTTACTTAGGAGCTGATTCCCAATGTCCTTCCTCTTTTGGATTAGAAGCATCATATTATACATGGTCCAAGGTCTGATCTTCACGGTTTCCAAAAGGGAGTTGGTAGGATCATCGTCTCCATGCAGTGATTTGCAGAAGTTGCCTTGCTTGTTATGCAAACAGGAAGGTGGAGAGCAATAGCTGGATGACAGACAGTTATAAGCCCGGCAGCAAAGAGAAACTAGCCTAGGAAAAATAGATTCGCGCTAGCCGTAATCAACCTGACTGCAGGAATACTTTTCTAGAAATCTTGGTAACAACAGCATTCAGCCTAGCACTGACAGTTTCTCCTGTACATGCCTGCGTCCTATAAAAAGTCTAAAACAGCAGCTCGAGGACCCAAGGAGGGAGTAGATGAGCAAATATACACACCGATTCTTATTGGCAAATGGGTTTATGTCTTATGTAACTCTAAGTCTCCAAACTGGTATCTCAAAAGATAAAGAGGGATGTGCAGAGAGAGAGAGCAGGCAGAAAAATATGTAGTTTGCCTTATATATCACCAGCCTTCAAACTAATCATAAAAATATTAAGCCCTACACGTGTTTCTGAACACCTGGACAACTAGTATCTTTTACATACAATATCAAGGACTGAAATGACTACATGGACTGAAACATTCAGGCATTTCACATCTTATAGCCAGGTATCAAATACCTACACCGGAGTTACAGAGGGATCTTTTTCATGGAGGAAAGCTATAAGTGGAAGGAGGGAATTAATTACTAAGTCTGACCAAAACAGCTTTCATTTTGAAAGCAGATAGGTTTCTGATCACAGGCTACAATGAGCTGTTCTTTATTTATAAGAAACAGAGGCATCAAATGGTTTAGGTGGAAGAGGTGAAAAATAGTTGGGTTCCTGTGAAATGCAAAATACCAAAAATATAGAAAGACTGGCACAAAGCAATGCCCATATGTGGCCCTACCTAATACATACCCTTGAACATCCTACACTGCCCCCAGTACCAACTCCTTCCATGACTAGTAGAGCAATAAGACAGCAGACAAATATAAAATGGTGGAGGGACCATCATCCACGGAAGATGCATTTAAATTACAGGAAAAAGTCTCTAGCTGCCCATAAAGATAGAAAAACGTTTATTAGATTAGCTACTGGGCAACTTTTCCTTGAATTATAACATAGAACAAATGAAAGTTGACAGCCATCCCTGATGGTGGTGTGGAAGGAACTACAGTACAATGTGAAATTAGGGAGGTCATCAGACCAAGGAAGATGAACCAGGGAGAAGAACCAGTCAGAAATGACATCAAGGAGGACAGACTAATTAAAAGGGAAAGAAGATCACTCAAAGAAGAACCATGGCCTTTGTTTACCCGGGCACCTAAGAGAGTGATCACTCAAATAGACTGATTTCAGGAACATAAGTGAGGACCCAAAAAGATTTACTGATGCCTGAAATTCCACAATGAGAACTTTATGTCTTGGACTTAGAGTAAGAGAAGCCTGATTCGTCACGAGTTAAGTATAAATCACTGCAATAGATGGGACTTTAAAGACAAAGTGGGACTTTAAAGGCAATCTAGCCTAACACCCTCATTTCACCAAAAAGGGAATAGAGACCCAGAAAGAGAAAGTGACTTGCTGAGGTTACAGCTTCTTACTAATGGAGCTGGGTCCAGATCTAGGTGTCTCTATACTCAGTTACGTGAGTTGTCCACTGTGCCATCCTATAACTCAACAGTCTGATCAAATGAGATAAACTGTGTAAATAGAGATATTTCCAAACTACAAAGTGCTAATTAAATAATTTTTTATCATTCTATTATACACAGTAGAGAATAGAATCCAATGTCAATCTCACATATTTTATTCAAGGAATGCTCACTTGCCCATATTTGTTCTTGCTCTGTGAAAGCAGGAGTTGCAGCATACCTCCCTAGTGCCAGTTCCCTATTAGAATCAGGTCTTCTAACATGCTTAACTCATTACTCTGTTCAGGCATTTCATATTTACTCACTTCTTTGGCTATTAAATCTTGCTTTCTTAGGAGTTTTAAAACTTTAAAAAAGTGTTTGTAAAATGCTTTACATGAGTTAACTTATTTTTTCACTGTGGGACTTGCAGATTGTGTTTGAGGAGGCGAGGGCTGGTACATCATGATACCTTGACAACCTTCCACCTTCTTTCTCTGATATGCACAAAGCAATGAATTCTGTTATTCTGTGATTTGTCATTCCTGGGTGACTCTGGTAGTGTAGAAGAGCTTTATTCTCAAAAGATCTACTTTTTATGTATTCATTTGTTTAAGAATGAATAAATAAAATCCATTTGTTTAAGAATTTCTGACACCTACTCTCTATCAGGTACTGTTTGAAGAACTGTATTTAGCATGGTCAACAAGCGGGCAAAATCTCCACCCTAGTAGAGTTTTCATCCCAGTAGAAGGAGTCAGAAAATCAACAAATCAGATGATTCTAGATTTTGACCTGTACCATGAATAAAATGGGCAGGTGATGTGCTAGAAAGCAATCAGATGGTGAAGGGCTAATTTAGCCAAGGTGGTCAGGAAAGGCCTCTTTAAAGAAGTGGTATCTAAAATAAGATTTGATGACTGCGAAGGAGAAAGCAATGCAAGAAGCCCAGGAATTAGTATTCCAAACAGAAGTAACAGCAAGTGCAAGTGTTCTTTATCTAAATTGAGAAAGAACACAGCCCCCCCCAAAAATGAAATCATGCCTTTTGCAGCAACCTAGATGGAACTGGGGGCCATTATCTGAAGTGAAACAAATCAGACACAGAAGGACAAACACTGCATGTTGTCACTTATAAGTGGGAACTAAATAATGTGTACACATAGATGTAGAGTGTGGAATGATAGACAATGGAGGCTCAGAAAGATGAGAGGGCAAGAAATCAGTGGATAGTGAGAAATTACTTAAGAGGTACAATGTACATCATTCAGGTGATGGATACCCTAAAAGCCCTGACTTTACCACTATACAGTCTATGCATGTAAAAAGAATATTTCACTTATAACCCATAAATATACACAAATTTTTAAAATTAAAAAAAATTGCGAAAGAACAGGAGGGAGCCAGCATAGCTAGAGAATTGAGAACATGATGAAAGTAGCATAAAAGGAGATGGAACGTAGATGATAGATCCTGCAAGGATTTGTAGGCTGTTGTCAAGAGGATGGACTTTATCAAAGTGCAGTGGAAATCCACGGAAGAAACCAAAGCAGAGGAAGGGCATGATCTGATCATTCTGACTCTTTTGTAAGAATGATTGAGATGAGTGGGCAGAGTGTCAAAGCAGGGAGACTAGTTAGCAGAGTTAGCAGCTTGAATCCTGTCTCATCAATTATACACACACAAGATGGAGTCACCCTCTGTCACCCTGGCTGGAGTTCAGTGGCATGATCTTGACTCACTGCAACCTCCACCTCCCAGATTTAAGCAATTCTCCTGCCTTGACCTCCCGAGTAGCTGGGACTACAGACATCTACCACCATTCCCAGCTAATTTTTGTATTTTTTAATAGAGATGGGGTTTCACCATGTTGGTCAGGCTGGTCTTGAACTCCTGACCTCAGGGGATCTGCCCATCTTGGCCTCCCAAAGTGCTAGGATTACAGGTGGGAGCCACCATGCCTGGCCAAAAATATTTATTTATTTGTTATTATTGTACTTTAGGTTCTGGGGTACATGCGCAGATCACGCAAGATTGTTACATAGGTACATACATAGCAAGGTGGTTTGCTGCCTCCAACCCCCGTCACCTATATCTGGCATTTCTCCCAATGTTATCCCTCCCCAACCTCCCCACCCCCTGCATAAAAACAGACAGTTTCTCCTGGGTCTTTGGGTCTTCATTTTTGAAGACTCCCATGTCATGTAAAACTTTGATTAAATAAATTGTTTACACTTTTCTCTTATTTGATTAAATAATTGATTACACTTTAATCTCTTATTTGATTAAATAAATTGTTTACACTTTTAACTTGTCTTTTGATATAGGAGTGTTGGTTGTGACCCTTATGATGGAAGAGAAAATGTATCACATGTTTTCACTCCTACTGCGGCTTTTCGGGAGAAGGAGAGATAAACGAAGATACACTGGATGCGCTGAGAACTAAAGTATGTTTCTTGTGACTCTGAAGACCAAAATTTACTCTGCAGTTGATGGGAGAGAAGAGGAAGCTCAAGTACTTAAGCCAATCAGGTTGGTGTTCTAGAAAGAAAAGTTGAGAGGCACAGTAAAAGAACAGACTGGATATGAGAGAAACTGGCATAAAGTTTGAAGGCTATTAGAATAGTCCATCTGAAAGGTGATAGGACAATAAAAATATGAACAAGATTGTTGTGAGAATCAAGTGAGGTAATGTAAAAAAGTTCCTTAAACTGTAAAATGCTAACATCTGGAAGGTATTGTTGACTTTGACAACAGGCTTTAGAAGAACGGTTTCCTACCGGGGGGACTGATTAAGCCGCACAGCAGGATGTGAATTATGTGTGGTCTCCAGGTAAATTTCAATTTTTTTCCAGCCTTTGCTCAGGGAGAACAAAACAAAACATTTCTCAAGCACTGACCATATCAAATACAAGGAAACAAGTCATTGTGGCAGGAGTTGCATCCTTTACTTCTACCAGATTTTACATGGGGTACTGCTTCTCCACTGCCAAGGCTCAGCCCCAGGCTATGCTTGCACCACTTCAGATTACAATTTCCTCTCAGCTGTTAGAAGCCTCCCTCCTTTATTGTTTACTACAATGGGCTAGACATCAATGAGATTTCAGTTATTGATTTTTACGACTAAAAGGAAACATATGGGGCTGGAGGATGCTGTGTACCAGGAAGATAAATGGGGATTTCCCAAGTATGTCTTACTTTTGGGAAATGTGTATTATGCTCTGCACCAAGCTTTGTGGGCATATGCAATTAATCAAGAACTCTAACCCTGACATTTGACAGCAGCAGGTCATGCATCCCTGATTTCCTGGGAAGAACAATACCACACTTATTTAGCTAGGGGGAAAATAATTCTTTTTCCCAAGAAGTAGGAGAAAACCCAAAATATCTTTATCCCAAAGATTAAATCTTTTTTCTGCAGCACTTAGCCCAAGATAGAAACAGCAGTTTCATAAGAGTTCATTTGCATTGCGCGGGTGGAAAGAAACAGTATGGTGTCATGAAAAGTGCTTGAACTTGACAGAGACGCAGACCTGGATTCCAATTCTAGATCCTCTAGGAAGTCTTGATAAATTAGGGTAAACTTTCTGACCTCTCGTTTTCTAACGTGCCCTGGACTTTCATTTGCCCTCACATTTTGAAATCTAGGTTCCTGAGGATAACATTCTGGTACTTTGATAATTCAACCCCACTCTGACTTTTCATCTTTCCTTTCCACTCT